CATGAGGACTCCTCAGGACTCCCCTGCATTTTTCAAGGTGTTCGAAGGTTTCTCAGGATCCCTTTCTGGGTTTTTCAAGATTGCTTGGGATTTCTCAGGGATCCCGAGGGGTCCTCAAAATCCTGTGGGATTCCGAAGGGTTCGTCCGGATTTCTCAGGATTCGTCAGGATGCCTTCGGATTCCTTTGGATGCTCCAGAATCCCCGAGGGGTCCTCAGGATTTCTCTGGGTTCCTCCAGGTTCCACAGGGTGGCTAAGGATTCCACTGAATTCCCCCGTATTGCACACATCGTCCTTCGGATCCCTGAGATACCCAAGAAGATCCCACGGTACCTCAAGACGGCCCAAGAGGCCCCCGAGACGCCAGAAGGGGACTCCAAGAGGCAACCCAACGGGGCCACTAAGAGGCACCATATTTTCGAAACCCTTCGGTGTTTCAATGTCAGTGGAATCGGATATGTCGGCGGGCCTGAACAAAGCCCAAGACTGCCCCAAGAGGCACAAAAGACGAGGCCTCCAAGAGGGCCCACGTGGGTCCCAACATCGCCCACGAGATTCTCGAGAGACCCCCAGGAGGTGCCACAAGACGGTCCAAGAGGGCAGCGCAAAGAGGCGGGACTAGACGGCTCGGAGAGCACATACACATACACAACCACCAACAGCAACAACAAATGGCTGGGGGGAGCACACTGTCGGGTGGCCCCCCCCCCACCATACATTGTCCCCCAAGTGGTTCCCACAACGGATGGGAACGCGCAGTCCAGCAGTATGGCCGCCCAGTGGTTCCCACAACGGATGGGAACGCCCGACACTACACGACTCGGGCGACTCTGAGAGCGGCGGCGAGCTTGGGGGGGAAGTGAGAGGGGGCAGACCTTCACGGACGGCGTCGCGGCTTCTCAGAGGAGCCCTCGCGCCTTCTGAGAAGCTGTCTGAGCCCCCTCCGCAGACGGAGACGGCTTCTCAGAGGCCGGGGAGGTGCTGCGAAGCCCCGCCGCCTTCTGAAGAGGCCCGCTCCCTCTCGCTTCCCCCCAGCCGCACCGCCGCAGAGGAGGAGGAGGAGGAGGAGGAGGAGGAGGAGGCTCTAGCACCGCAGAAATGTAACATCCGAAAGGGGGCCTCGTGGTTGCCCCAGGTGTCCCGCAGGCACTCCACCAGGCGGCCAAGAGGGCCCGACGAGGCCCTGCCAGGGCGGCCGGCGAGGGCCAAAGAGCGAGCCCCCAGAGCCCACCACGGCCCCACGCGACCTCAAGGCGACCCCCAAGACTAGTGAAGGGGACCTGGGACACACAAATAAGTGCACACAAATAAAAATACTCCAAATATTTTCCCATATTTTCTGGGTTTTTGTCTTCCCCCCCACTCTCCATATTTTCCTACATTTTCTGGGGAATCGACGATTAATTGTGTCTGCGGGTTTCTTCTCCT